TTTCAACCAAGTCTACATGGAAGAAGCAGTGCAAGGCGAGTGACTTAACAAATTTTCTGAAGATTCTCGAGGCGGGTTCGACAGATATTTAAATGGGGTTATAACTTATTTCAGCGCTCATCTAATCTTTGAAAAAGATATACGTGGAAGCTTGCGAAAGTCTAGAGACATGCAAACAAGGATGTGTCATCCTCCAAGAAGAAGACCGTTCGTGGTAGTTAGTTTCAAATTATTATATATATGAGTTTTTATGTTAGAATTTTGTGTGTTCACTTCTTTATACAAATTACTCAAATTACCAAGTGTTCGAGAAACAAGTTGCTGAGAATGTACGTATGAAGCACCAATTTTATGTTCAATCTTATTCCTTTTTAATAGAAGTCCTTTACATTCCTTTTAAGTTTAAATCGAATTTGCTTTACATTACAGTCTTTACTTTTTAAATCATTTTATTACTACTTTCGAAATAACGATCTTTGTCGAAGAGAATGATACCCAGAAAACTTAAAAAACAAAATATACATTATTGTCGTGGGATCAATCTAGTTGATCATGTAAGAAACCAGAATCTCTAGGATTCAGAAGACTAGCGCTTGTTTAACAAATTTCACAGTAAACAGGTACACACGCAAATACTATATTCCTTGTTTCACTTTCGATCTCGCCCATATGGTATGCTTACTTCCTTGAGTATTTATAACAAGCGTTTCTCATGCCATCATGTTGACTCTGAATCAACTTGATCCAACACCCCTGGGTGAGAGTCAAACTAGTTGACTCTCGTGGTCCTAAAACCAGTGCTTTGGGCCTCTGGCCATTGGGATTGGCCCTATTCTTTTCACACACCCCATTTTTATTATCTCTACATAATTTACACCCCTTTCTTTTTTTCTTCTCTTTTTTTTTTGTATTTTTTATTTCATTTAATGTTGTTTCATTTAATTAGTTTTAGTTTTCTTATTTAATTTAGTCCTTTATTTTTAGCTGACCCATTTAGTTAACTATTTAGGGAATTTTTTAGGTTGGATATTTTCATTTAGATTTTTTTTTATATCTTAATCAGGTTAATTATTAATTAGGTATTTCTTAATTAGGTTAATTTCATTTTTATCGTTAAAAATACAACAAAAAAAACACGTGTGTTTATTATTAGGCTTCTTAGTCTGTTAAAAATAACAAAACATGTCTTTAGTCCTTTTTATTTTTGTACATAAATTTAGGATTCTAAATTAAATTAATGCTTCATAATCACTTGTAAGTAATTCATGGTTTGTACATAGATCATCAAATATCAAACTCTTTCATAATCAAACTAATTCAAGGTTTTCATAAGTAATTGGACAAGGTGGATATACATCCACATTTTCCTCGAATAATCGAATGAGTGGTGCACACCATATCATTTAATCATTCAAACTCAAAACACTTAAAATAACTCTTCACCCATCAACTCATTTTTACCCTTGCGCACTTAATTCAAACTTTTTCATAAAAGAATAGTCTAATCCATTTAACACGAATTAAAACAAATGCCTCAACCTCCATCGTGCAAGCATACAGGCAGTCATTTAACCACTAAAATGTGACCTAAAACTATTCTCTAAAATCAACCAACACATAATTTTTTTACCGAACTACGAGACTATGAATTTCTCATTGCACCTGAGAATACGTAGGCACAAGGTTTCAAAATCTCGGCGAGCACACTAATTAAAAACCTATTTTTTCTATTTTCTTTTGTAAATATCTTTTTTTTTGTAAATATCTTTTAATGAACAAACAATGCAAACATTCTCTTAACAAACACTTTAACCTTAGTCTATTAGGAGGTTTCCGTTGAGTATAACAAATACGATGGGTGATCATACCTTTCTCTCACATAACCAACTCCCGAACCCATATTTGGTTGTGATGAACATCTTATCCTCCTTCCTTAGGGTTTTATCATTATTTTCTCTTTCCTTAGGAATAAATAAAACTTGGTGGTGACTCTGTGTCTATTTTGAGCGTTTATATGCTCAGATATTATTCGTGTAGAGAAACCTCCATGGTTATTGCAAAATTATTTTTTGGCCTAAAAATTTGTCAATGTAATCATATGGAGGAAGCATCTATTTGATTTGATAAAGAGTTATGAATGGAGGTTGAATACATCATGATTGGTAGAGGTCCTTTCTTCAGATACCTTCAATGGAGGGTGACTTATTTACCCATTAAAGTATAGGGGTTCGGTTTGTACTCGGAAATAGAGGGTGTTTCATATGCTTTTGTGGCTTCTAGGATCCAATCTTGGATGTTACAAGATCATAAATTGAGATTCTATATTGTGATTCTATATTTTGACCTTGTAATTTTTACTAGCAAGGATATTGTCCCTTTCAAAGGACAATATGGCTTAGTGAGTGTCACTTTTAGTAAAATTTTCCAAGACATGGATGTAAAGTTTGACATGATCACAAGACATAAAAAAATTTTGGATTGTTTGTAAGCCGCATGTGCAAGTCTTCTTTCTTGCTATTCCTATTTATGGGCTAGCCAACATATGTCACCGGTGAAGTTCCGTGCTATCATGAGATAATGTCATATGAATCTCTTATTTCCTATTGATGAGATTTTCACTATTAGTCACAAGGCATATTTAGATACATTTGGGGAACACGAGATTCATTGTAATGAGCTTATAGGCTTTAAATACTTACATGACCTTGTTAGGTATGTCCTATTTGATATATTCTGGTGGTACAGAGTAACTATGAAGAAAGAAGCATTTATGATTTAATTTATTGACCCAAATGAGGGGAGATTGACACTTAGGTCAACAAATGTACTGGTGTATGAGTGGGTAGGAGGAAAACATGAATGTGTGGATTTAACTAAGGTTTCTACACTAATGGTACTGAGTACTATAGGTTTTACCGTGAGACAGACAACTCTTAAATATACTTCAAGCAAAGTGCTTTCGTACGATTTACATTTGACACTTTTGATTTCCTAGCACCAAAAACAGTGGATCTTTTATATAGATTCCAAAGACTTATGTATAAAAATGTTATATCTCCTAGGTCAATGGATGTAATTTTATAAAAAAATGAGTTTTTCATTAAAAAATGATTAACGACACAACTTGTTGTCTAGTTGCCTTATAGGTTTGTATAAATTCATTATATATGAACTACATGTTAAACAAAAATCTCAAACATGTTTTATAAAAAAATTGAAAATTATAACAAAGACATAAATTTTAGTTAGTTATAAATACCTCCAACACAAACTCTAGTCGACAATTTTTTTACACGTTCCTCTTAACTTGCAACAACTACTCGTGTTTTAGGAGAAATTGTTTCATCATCCACTACAATACCTCTTATTAGGTATTTAGATATTTTAACCTATTTTGACTTTTCTCCAAAATGGACTTATCTAAATTATGACACACACATTCACTCTTCTTTCTTATCTCCCTCTTTACTAAAAACATATCATTCAACAATATAAATACACATACTTAATTATTTTATTTTATTTTAGTATATCTAAAATGTTATATCTCTAACATGTTCATACTAAAATACTATTAATTTTAGACAATAATTAAAATGATTAAATAATTAAATATAATCTAAGCATGTGTTTATATAATTGGAGGAGTCTAGGGGTTAACACTATCCAATAACTTTCTATTTAAATCTCCCATAAATATAAGAACCCCTCTCACTTTCTTTCAAACACTAATCAAAGTGTTTGGACTTTGAATCACTAAATCCTAGTGTCATACCCTAATTTTTTATCTAAGATCACACCTTCCATATGTGTTATTGTATAGCAACTATTTACAAGCGATCGACCTATTTTTGTCAATTCTCGAATCAAATTTCAAAAAATTCATAACTTCTTCAAATTTCAATATTTTTGAGCAGTTCTTTTTGCATATGATTATCATTCACGTCATCTGCAATTGTTCTTTACAAGTTGGGAGCAGATTATGCTTTGAACACCATGAAAAATTCGAAATGTTAGAAGTCATTTTATAAATTTTAGTGGAATTTAATTTTCAATTGTGTTTTATTCATGATTTTGTTTTCATTTAAAAATTACAAGAAATGTACTTAGCATCATGTTATTTATAAATTTTATTTCTTTATTCAAAAAATCTCAAAAAAGTTATAGTTTAGTCTTTTTTTTTTCATTTATATTGTAGCATATGTATTTTATTTTTATCTTGCACTTTTATTTTCATTTATTTTAACTCAAGAAAAATCATAAATATTTAGTTTAAATTCATGTTATTTTTCTCAAAAAAAAATTAAAATTAAAACCATGTTATTTATTGTCACTTTTTATTTGCATTTTTTATTTTAGTTTTTTTTGCTACTAACAAACTTTAGTGTTATTTATTATTATTAGTAGTAGTATTACTATCATTAACAATTTTTAATTTTTGTTTATTATTATTATCATTAATTTTGTGTTGTCTCTTATATCCAAGAAAAAGAAAAAATATAAATCTGGGACCACACTTGAAGAGCATCTTTTATGTTGTCCATAAGTAAACATGCATAATATAAAATCAGTCTAATATCAAACAAAAACCTGCTATTATCCAATTATAAGTCAGTCCCATACATACATCAAAATGCATCACACAAACCTGTTACAATAAAAGTGCAAGTGCATTTCATATAAACTTAGCATAAGGATGCTTAGTGAACAAGAACTGATTCAAAAATGTTCCCTCCTAATTCTCATTCTTATTTTCTATATAAACAACTTTTCATTCATAAACAAGGGGGGAAGAATTTCATAGAGGAAACCAAGGAGAAAAAAACTACATAGAAAAAAATAATAATTTATTTTCGAACATACCAAAAATAAAAAATATACAGAGAAAAATACCTCAACTTTTTGTCCACACACAGAAAAATAATACAAAAAAACACCTAACAGAAACTTCATAAAACTTCTGCTAGAAAAATGTCAACTCACACCTTCAACCTCTACTCATGCATTCACCATCACACCCTCTAACAACTTCACATATCAACAAACGAAGCCCTCATAACCACAACTCAATCCTCACACATCACAATCACCAAAACACACTCGGGGACCCTTCGTATTTACTACTTTGCAAGAACACATCATCCAAACACAACAATAAAGAAACACTCAGCCTGACGGCAACTTCACACAATACTGTCGCCATAAACCTCACCTCCATTTTTGACCGACTTACCTTCAGCTACAACAAGCACCCCGACCTTCATTTTCATCCCACCACGAGTTTACAACCGCTGTCATCGAAATACACCACCACCACTGGAGCTTCGGCAGCGGGCCATCATTGATGTCACTATCCTCTCTCCGATCGACACATAATCGCTCCACCGGCCTTCTTCCCCATTGACGCTTTGACCTGTAACTATTTTTGTTTTCATTTTCAATTTTAAATGAGGATTGTGGATTTGTTATTGTTTGTATGTTTGGGAAATTGAAAAGGGAAGTGACGAACTTTTGAAAGAAAGAAATTGTGAGGAAGGAACCAAGATGATTTACGGTTGAGAGAGATGAGAGAAGATAATGTTAGATGAAGAAAGAGAATTATGTGGTTATTCTACCGGTTGCTTTTAATTATGTTTATTGGAAATATATTTTTTTTAATGATTATTGACCAATTCCAAAGCAATGCATTGAATGACCTTTAGTGTCTAGGGTTTGTTTCATTAGTTTAAATCTAAGTTGGGCCTTACCATCACACCAAACCGCCCAACATTTTTTTAATTCTATTTTTGTTCATGTTTTTTTGCATTTTGGGCTCCTTGTTCTAAGCCCAGTTCTGATTTACTGTTTTATACCCCCCCCCCCCCCCCTTATCTTTTTATGTTCAAACAATAAAAAACTTACATGGGCTTGTAACTAATCATAACCCATCCGAATTTATGGCTCTACATCCTATTTTATGCTTTAACACCACCCTTATTTTTATTTGATTTAGACTTAATTTAGTAACTTTAGAATTTCTATTTGATTTAGATTTAATTTAGTAACTTTAAAATTTTAATTTATTTTAGATTTAATTTAATTAGTTTAGAATTATTTTAATATCTTTAGATTTTTAATTTAGCTTAGAATTAATTTAGTAATCTTAAAATATTAATTTAGTTCAAATAACTTCTTTAGATGATTAGTCACATTCTCTTTCATTTGTATTTGATTATCTTTGTCATTTTAATTTAAATTTCTCATTGCCTTTTTGTCGTTAATTTGTTTGTTAGATTTGTTTTCTTGTGGATTTTTGAATGCTTATATTTTGATGTTCATTTTATTTTGCTTGCTCGATTTAATCCAAAGGAAAGGGAATTATGTGTTGTGTCATGTTTTAATCTTGATTTATATGCATTTTGTTAATTATTTTTTCATGTTTTAATCTCGACTTGTATGACTCATTTTTTTCCTTCAACTACCTCGTCATGTTTTAATCTTGACTTGTACGTTAGTTGTTTCCTCCTACCATCCTTGTTTATGTTCTGTCCTTAAGATCCAATCTATTAGGAAACAAATATTTTAGCCAAAATACACAGATATAATAAGAAGTTTATGTGGAGTACCGCAGATGCATTGGGTGCTAACACATTCTCTTTGTACAACTAACCTCCGTACCCTTTAATCTCTTTATTGCACTTGCTTTTAGTTTTACTTCTTGCATTGTATATTTATTTTGGGTTTTATTTCTCTATTTCTCATTCCCTTGGAAATAATAAAGCGTGGTGGCAACTCTTGTTTATTTGCGAGTCAAGTTAATTAATAGCTTGATCTCCGATTTTCACCGCTACACCTAGTGATCAACTTCAAAACAAGATAAGCGATGCTGAATCTTAGAACTCAACTAGACAAGCCTACTATGCCAAGTTACCGATAATAAAAAGTAGTGTTCGCCGAACTAGATTAGTGAAAAACATACTTGTGCGAGCTAATGAATTAATGTTCCTGAAAATTTTTACATTCTAAACATAGAATGAGAGATAAAGTCCGACAGATGTCTGTCATTTTAGACAAGTTGTTCTTGAAAACTGCTAAACAAAATTGATGTCAATGTTGAAACCCTTTCCATATAATTTGGGGATAACATTGTAAAATTTAAGCCCAATATCCTTTTTTATATTGCATCTTATACTCGAGGTTCATTTTAGTTTCATAACTTTAAAAAAAGATAATTTTGGTCCACAACTTTTTAAAGTTTTTTTACGTTAATCATATCCATCCAAATATCAATTTTCGCTGATTTAGAAAATGACGCGTAACAATGAATTGTTGTGACTGATTTAGGGGACTATATAATTTGTCACATTTGTGGCATTATAAAAAACAATTTTAATCCCTTAACTTTTTAGAATGTTTTATATGCTAGTCTTGTCCGTCCAAATAATAGTAACAATATATATGTTCGCTAATTTGACAAATGACGTGTAACAATGAACTTTTATGCATACATCTTCATTTTCTTCATAAGATTCCATAGCCATAAAGCTCATCACTACATTAACATCAAAATTAACATATAAACAAAAATAAACTTTCACTCTCACGCGAGATTGGATTCTCAAAATATTAGTAACAATATCTATGTTCGCTAATTTGACAAATGTCGTGTAACAATGAACTTTTATGCATACATCTTCATTTTCTTCATAAGATTCCATAGTCATAAAGCTCATCACTACATTAACATCAAAATTAACATATAAGCAAAATATAAACTTTCACTCTAACACGAGATTGGATCCTCCAAAACATAAAAATTATGAAAATTCTTTTATTATGGAGATGCAGGGAATTGAACCCTGTACCTCTCGCATGCGAAGCGAGCGCTCTACCATATGAGCTACATCCCCATGATATTAAATTTAGTTAACAAAGTATACTCATTGGTTGGATAACAATTGTTATACATTTATTTTAAAATTTAAAATAATATTAATATAATTTTTTATTAGGGATTCATTCTAATAAAAGAATGTGAGTTTTGTCTCCAAATCCTATATCAATTTTCAAAACACTATATTGTTAGGTTGAACGCCATTACCAATGTTCAAACTCAGAATCTCACAATTATGTGTATGTCTTTAATGACTATTACAATTTCATTTAGCGATAAAAGATTGTTATTTTTGTTTTACATAATAAAATACTGCGGAGTAGCACTGATATGCTGTGCAAATGAATGAAGAAGATGGAAGATCTCTTCGATTGTGTGAGATACAAACAAGTCCCTAGAGAAGAAAACTCAGACGCTCATAATGCTACTAGGGCAAACATGATTTCTACCAAGAAGAGAAAAGGCCAGATCCTATCACGGATTAAAAGGCCCAATAATTTTGTCTCTTTATTTTGTTCCTTCTAAGGTTTTATACTTTTATCAAAATAATAATAATTAAAGTATGTGACTTTGAAACCTTGTATTTTCCCTTTAATGTATAACCTATGAAATTATATAATAAATATTTCAATATATTTATGAAAAGTAATTTGTTTAATATTAAAAATTATTTTAAAATATACTTTGCAAAGATAGAATGTTAAAATAATTTATTTGTATATTATAATAATTTCAAATGATTTATCTCCATAATATCAATTTATTAAATTAAAATATTCTTTGAATTCTAAAAGGTTATTCTAATTGATTTCAAGCCTTGAGAATATCTCATTTGTTTTATTCCACCACTTTAATTCTTTGGCTTAGCTACAACTTTGAAAAGTGATTTTGATCCATGATTTTAGAGAAGATGTATTGGAGAAACCGGTCAAAAGTCAAGTTTATGAGATAACTTTTTCTTTGATGAAATTTTGAGTGCTCATTATTCTAGAACACTAATAGAATTTGAAAGATTTCCGTTTTTATTTGAAAAATTTATATAGTTTTATATTACGAAATCCGACGAAGGAAATAATAACTATATAAGGCACAAAAACCATCATATTATACTCAATTCTCATAGCAAAAAAACTCCAGCATTCCTCTGTTCATTCTTGTAATTTTGCAAGTTGTGCCAGTTTAAATGAAGTTTATGTTTTCTTGTTCCAATTCTTATCTTCCTTTACATTTTAATGTCTTTATTTTATAAATTTGCTTCTATTATGATCATGTGTGAGTAGCTTTTAGTTATCTTGGAATTGTGAGAATTCTAATAAATAGATTCTTCATAAATTATAAATTTTTTCTATTTATTATAAGTGTTGATATTTTAAGGGTTAAATATATAATACTCTCTGTAATGTTAGCGAGTTTTAGTTTTAGTCTTTGGTAAAAAAAGTTTAATCTCTCACTTATCTTATTTAAATTTTCTCATAGAACCCCTCAAATGCCAAGTGGCATGAGAAATTCACCTATTATTTCACGCGTGGCTTTTATATTTAAAATTTTTCGAATTTGAAAACATATTTACATGACAGCATGGCATAATATCATTTATCTTCTTCCTGACTATGATTTTTATTCTCCTTTCTCTCTTCATCTTCGTACATCTTCTTCCTGACTAGGGTTTCTAGTCCCCTTTCACTCTCTATCTTTGTACAATCTTCCACCAACAGTTGAGACATTGGTGGAAGCAAGTCTTCTCAATGAGTAATTTTAAAAAAAGTTTGCCAAGATGTGGGTGCAACGAAACGATGAAGATGTGGGTATCAAACACTATTGATAACCCAAGTAGAAAATTCTGGAAATATAGAAATTTCATGGTGAGGGTTTTTTGAGCTTGTAATCCTATTACATTTACATTTTATGTTATATGTGTGTTAATCTTTATTACATTTGCATAATGGATGCATATTGTTCGTGTGGGACGATTTAGTTAGTGGGCTTGAAGTGTGTCATACCCCAAATTTGCTCTACTGGTTTTTATCTCTTATTTTTCAGAATTATTATTAAAAAGTCAAGGGCCTTTTTAAATCAGAGAAGGCCCTTGTGAATTGTTAAAATTCATTTGTTTCATAAGGGGGTGTATTTGTTAAAGCGTATTAGCCCATTTCAAAACTTGAAAATTCCATCTCATTAAGTTTTTTGGGCCTTTCTAAATCAAAAAGGCTTGTGTGAAAATTCCAGCCCAATTCGAATGCTGAAGGGAAGGGGGTTTGCGCTATTGAAAACATCTTGGGCCATCTCTAAATCAGAGTAGCCCATTTAGGTGGAATGGCATGTAAAACAATTTACTTTAAAACCCAATACAATTGAATCTGAAGGCCCATTACACATAGAAAGGGAGAAGAGTTTTTGTTTTGAGATAAATGATCCAATAATTAAATATTTGGCCCATTTCATGTCTTTACTTCAAATGTATTTTGTTTTATT